AAAGTATTAAAAAAAAATTTGAAGAAATAACATGTTTAAATATTGTTACTTCAGATGATGCTAAAACTGTGGCTCATAATAACATTATGTCTATGTTTATGGAGAAATTCAATGCTGAAGACACATCGAGGTTAAATATTATTTTCTCAATCAATTTAATTAAAAATTATTACAAAGAAAAATTTAAGTTCAATTTAAAATCGCATTGTTATTATCAATATTTATAATTAATTTTTATTTCAGAGATAATAAATATCGTATTTTAACTTCACTACCATCAACTTTAAGCACATGCAATATAACACGAACATTCAATTGCTCTAAGCATATGGTAAATGTTGCCAAAAAATTGCAAAAAGAAAAAGGCATTCTATCAGTACCCGGCGTCAAAAACGGACGAAATCTTTCGAGTGATAACATAGATTTAATAACCCAATATTACCGAAACGACGAAAATTCAAGGCAATTGCCTGGGATGAAGGATTACGTGACTATCAAAAAAGATGATGGAGCGAAAGAGAAAGTTCAAAAGAGACTTGTTTATTGTAATTTAAAAGAACTTTACCAATCTTTTAAATTAGAATTCCCGAATTGCCAAGTAGGTTTCTCTAAATTTGCCGAACTTCGTCCCAACGAATGTGTTCTGGCAGGAGCTAGCGGAACACATACAGTTTGTGTGTGTATCTTTCATCAAAATGTTAAACTTATGATCGAAGGTCAGAAAATAGAATTTGATTTCAGAAACCTTAATTAGTTTGATTTACACTTCTTAAGAATAAAAATTATCGTAATAATTATAATTATTCTAATATTTCTAATTATTATAATAATAATATATTATTATTATTATTATATTAATTAGAATTAATAAAATAAATATAATTATTAATAATAATTATAATCAATTATCTGTTTATAGGCTCGGATTTACAAAATTTAACCAAAACTTGGGAAATTCCAATAAAAGGAAAAAGTTCGTACAAGGAGCTCTTTAAATATCTGCTATGTCTAAATCCGATTATCAAATGTTACGAAGGTCAGTGTGCTTTATGTCCCAGCAATGATATTCTAAAAGAAAAACTAATCGACGCATTTAATAATGACTTAGTCGAGGAAGTGAATTACAAACAATGGATATCAACAGATAGGTAAATATTAAGTTATAGTGTAAATTTATGTTGGTTTTGATTTATTACTGTTTTTGAATTAGGTGCTCTCTGAAAACTTTGAACGAAACTATTGATGAATTTGTTCCATCTTTAATAGAAAAATTGACCAAACTACTTTTTCACGATTTTATCGCCACTAAACAGTCTCTGCATTTTAAAAATGTAAAGAAGAATTTAGAAGTTGGCGATTTCGTGGTAACTCTCGATTTTTCAGAAAATTTTGCATTTGTTGTTCAGGAAGCAGTCCAAGGATTTCACTGGAACAACAATCAGGCAACGGTTCATCCGATTGTCATATATTACAAAAATCGTGAAACAAATGAAATTGAACATGTTTCTTATGTTGGCATATCGGATTGCCTTAACCACGACACTATTGCGGTATATACGTCTCAGAAAAAATTAATCGATTTTCTGAAAAGAAATTTTTTAATCGTCAACAGAATTATATATTTTTCGGATGGAGCACCTCAACAATATAAAAATAAAAAGAATTTTGTTAATTTAACCCATCACTTGACAGATTTTGGAGTTGAAGCTGAATGGAATTTTTTCGCAACAGCTCATGGAAAAGGAGCCTGCGATGGCGTTGGAGGCACATTAAAACGAATAGCTCGAAGATACTGTTTACAAAGTGGAACCAGAAATGAAATTTTGACCGCGCAAAAACTTTATGAATGGGCAAAAGAAAATTTTAAAAATATAAACGTTTTTTTTTATTCAACGGCCGATTATGAACTTGCAGCTGAGTTTCTCACGTTAAGGCATAAAAAGTGCAAGACGATCAAAGGAACTCAGTCCATTCACTTTGCATCGCCAATTAATAAGAACACCCTTAAAATTAAATTGTTTTCGGAAAGTTTAACTTCTGATATTGTTTACACAGAGTAAAAAAATATTTGCTAATTTTAACCAAATATTAATAAGATTTTTTGTTAATCTAGATCTACATAACTTTTGTTACGTTTACAACAAACTATAATCTGTTAACTAAGTACACAGTTTTAAAAGTCATATTTATTGATATCAGTTTTTAGTTTTTTAATTTTATATTGTAAAAAGTTTAACATAATTCTTTGTAAACGTAACATAATTCTTGGTAAATGTAACATCACTCCAAAAGTTATTTGGACCTAGATTAATAAAAAAATATGTTATTAATTGGTTAAAATTAACAAATATTTTTACTGTGTAAATAAGTAGTTTATTAGCTATTTATGTATCAAGGGCATTACGTAGGCTTTAATGCCCAAAGGCGAAACTAGCCCGAGGGCCTTTGGCCCGAGGGATAGGATTTCGCGTGATGGGCATACAATGCTTTATTTTCTACTTAAAGATTTATGTTTTTATCAAAAATTTAAATAATAAATAAACTTGTCAAATTTCCTACTGTCACTGTACCAAATGTTGACTTATGTCAAACAAAAATTAATCAAAATTTTATTTAAGAAATTCCGCAAAATATTTTACAAAATGCAGCCAAGGCTACACAAAAGTTATTATTTATTATAGTCAGTGATTGAAAACAACAAATTTTCTGCAGCTTTGGCTGCATATTGTATGATGTTTTGTAGATTTAAATTTGCGGGCATTATGATAACGCCCGGCTATAACGCCCTGTGGTTGTTATAGATACGTTTACTTATTTGATTTGCAAGGTGTTATGGATCAATAATAGATAAGTAGAAAATAAAATAATTACATACATTACATATTCGGTAAAATGTTTTTCTTGTTAAAATTTTCACAAATCTGGACTGATATTAACAAATATTATTTATCTTACAGTGCACTGCTTGGCTTATCGCTTGTAAAATATTTTGTATTTTTTTAATAATAAAATAAATGTAATGCAATGAATTTAGTCTTTTAATAAAATATAATTAAAATAAATACTACATTTAACTCAATGAAACAATCTCTTTCTCCGTTTGGCGAAGCGAAGTCGCTCGGAGCCATTGATCGCGGGAGTAACGATTTCACGCATCGCATCACAAAAAAATTCATAACTTCTACAATTTTTGAGTCCCCCCAAAAAGTAACTAGTCAAAATTTGCGCAAGATTCAGGGCTATCACCATAAATTTTTTGAAAAATTTTTGAGATGGCATTTTTTGGATAATTGAATTTGTTTAAAAAAAAATGATTTTTTTAATGAATTTTTAGGTTAAAATTTTTGAAAATTTTTTTTTCTTAAAGAGCGCCCAAAAATATGTACATCTAAATTTATCTCGAAATTTTCAGTCGTTTCAGTTTTTTAATTTTCGAAAAATAAGAAACGTGACATTTTTTTTTATTTATTATATAAAATCCACAAAAATGCATAAAAAAAATTAAAATTTTGGATTTCTCCTTTATTTATGTTCCTCTGTCGGCCCTGAAAATTTAAAGTAAATCGGAAACATGAAGTGTGAATCTTGGCCGATTTGGCGTGGATCGCCCCATATATATATATATATTAGGGTGGCCCAAAAAAAAAGAATATTTTTTTTCTTCTCGTCTCTTGTAAAAATATGTTAGTTTATCATGCTGTAAGAGCCCTTTCAAAATATCAGCTCGATTAAAAATTTTGTAGGGGTCGCTCAAGATTTTTAAAAAATTTCAAAATCGTCAAAAATTGAATTTTTGTTTTATTTTAATTCTTTTTCTCGTCTTGATATTATTTTTTAGGTTGAAAATAATAAAAATTCTGTAAATTTCAAATCAATATTTTGATTTCTAAAGGTCGCTAAAAGTTCGTTGATATTTATATTCAGAGGTCGCTCGAAAACATTCAAAATACTCTACTTTGAAAGTTAAAATAATCTTGAGCGACCTTTAGAAATTAAAATATCGATTTTAAATTTTCAGAATCATTATTATTTTTAAATTAAAAAATAATATCGAAACGAGAAAAAAAATTAAAATAAAAAAAATCCAATTTTTGACGATTTTGGTAATTTTTAAAAATCTTGAGCGACCCCTAAAAAATTTTTAATGGTGCTGATCTTTTGACAGGGCTCTTAAAACATGACAAACCAACATATTTTCACAAGAGACGAGAAGAAAAAAAATATTCTTTTTTTTTGGGCCACCCTAATATATATATATATATATATATATATATATATATGTATATATATATATTAATATATTAATATATTAATCAAATAAATATTTATTTTTTCAAAAAAATTTAAAATAAATACCCACAATGTAGGTTCTACATAATGTATTTTATTAAGAAAAATACCTGCACTGTCAACTCCACGACGGGGATTGCTTTGATCTTAGCAATAGGCCGAGAAATGATACATAAGATGGAATCTACCTCACCTTTTAAATAAATGTTGTACCCCAACACAAGCGAGATATATCTAAAATGTGTTTAAACTATTGAGTGATCACTAAAACTGTACAAACAATGTGCTATAAAAAGGTGTAATATAAGCGTCATAAATGAGAAATATTAAAGCGTGCTAACAGTGTGTATACCTACAATGTGACATGCTTAAGATAGACTGAAGCTTTGCAAAATGTCTTTAAACACTGTGCAAACAATGTGCTAAAATATAATGTATTATAAGCGTGACATATGACAAATAAAAAGCGTGATGTTAATGTACATAAAGAGTAAAAAAGCTTAATTATTTCAAAAAGTGTGAAATTACTTAACTTACTTGACTTGCACTCCAAATACACACTTATTGCACACTTTTCATGCACGCTTTATTTTCGCCAGGGTTTCATGTAAACTTTTACATATTTTTTATATCTTTTTTTGGTCAGTATGGGACATAATTTGGACTTAATATACATATAAGTATAAGATTTTATTTTTTGGTATACTTACTTTTCACCAGGAATACCGCTATCGCCTCTATAAAATTCTTTTGTACCAAGTGCTGGCTCTCCTTTCTCTCCAGGATAACCAGGACTACCAGATAAACCGTCTTTTCCACTATAACCTGGGAGACCAACATCTCCAATTATTCCTTTACCGCCCTTTCGCCCTATCGGTCCAGTATATCCTGGAAGTCCGTAATCCCCATCCTGTCCTGTTGACCCCATCGGACCCATATCTCCTATCTCTCCTGTCTCTGCCTCGAATTTCGAACCTGGCCATAATAGTTTACCCGGTGTACCTTGTGGCCCAGGTTTGCCCTCAATGCCATCTGAGCCTGTCGAACCGGATAGACCAGGTTGGCCTGTCGGACCAGGTTTACCTGGTAAGCCTTTGGGTCCTCTTTCTCCTATTAAACCCTGAACACCCAGGGATCCTGGTCTTCCTGGTCTTGCTGCATCACCTCTTTCTCCTTTTAGACCAGGTAAACCTAAATACATATATTTAAATAAAATCTTGTACCTACACTTACTACAACCAAAATACCTGGCGGACAATATCCACAGTCGTCACCACGCTTTCCCTTTAAACCATCCATGCCATCATAACCAGGTTGCCCGTCATCTCCTGGAAATCCAGGAAAACCTCGCGGACCGGGGTCCCCTGGAGGTCCTCGAATTGGGAGCCCATTTCCAGGGTATCCTTTGGGACCTGGTGTTCCCATTTCACCTCTATCTCCTACCGTTCCATCAAAACCGTGAATCCCTGGCAAACCAAGTTCACCAGGAGGACCTATAACATCTTCGCCTTTATAGCCTTTTTCTCCTATTTCACCCGGAATTCCTTGTTCTCCTGGTCGCCCAGAAAATCCTCTCGGTCCAGTCAGCCCATCGTCGCCTTGTTCTCCTTTAATGGAAATTCCTCGAGCACCAATTGCACCCTGATAACCTTGAGGTCCCGGTGCACCGGAAGGTCCAATATAACCTGGTGAACCAGGTCTTCCTGGTATACCCGACAATCCTACCTCTCCTTCAGGACCCTCGGGACCCTGTCTACCTACATTACCGGGCATAGCTGATTCATCTAATAACGGATCATATACTCCGGGAGGCCCTTCATAACCTTGTATACCAGGTGTACCAACTTGGCCATCTTCACCGGCTTCACCTTTTAAACCATCAATACCATCGAGACCGGCGTATCCAGGTGCACCTTTTGATCCTTTTTCACCAGGAGCGCCTGAAGGTCCCTCCTTTCCTTGTTTTCCTGCTAACCCATCTTCTCCTATGTCCCCTCTAATGCCATCTGGGCCTTTGAGCCCAGGTACTCCCTAATACAACATTATTTAATCATTTTACTTTTAAGGTCTTAGAAGAAAACTTACCGCTGGTCCTCTTTCTCCCATTGCTCCTTTCCATCCATATTCTCCTATTTCACCTTTCGGTCCCTTATCTCCAGATAATCCTTTTTGAGTTGAATAAATTTCTACTTGAAAAGTAGCACCAGCAGCCTTTCCTGGCGGACCTTGATCACCTTCTTCACCCGGTAAACCTTTTCCTCCAGCTCTTTCCTCTCCCCTGTCTCCTTGAGGTCCCCATGAACCAGCTTCACCACTAAGACCCTTAAAATTTTACATACTATAATGTAAACAATCTTATAGCTTTATTTTATAACAAATACTAACTTGCAAACCTTGAGGACCAACATAACCTTTTGGTCCCGTATCTCCACGAGGACCAGGCAAACCAGCTAATCCATCTCTGCCAATTATACCGTAGTTACCTTTGATACCCATGGAGTTACCACCACCATCGCCAGGCTCGCCCCTAAATCCCTGCAATCCCATTGGTCCCGGAGCACCACGCTCTCCGGGTCTGCCCGGAATACCGTCAATGCCCATTGCACCGTCCGTTCCGTTGCAACCATCCAGACCCGGTGGACCCCGAAATCCTTCCTCACCGGGCGCTCCAAATCTACCTTCTAAACCTTGAATACCTTGCGGACCGTTATCTCCCTAAAACATAATGAATGTCGATATAGTTTACAAATTTATATATCTCCTTTATCAAAACAATAACCAAAAAAGAGGATGCTTCTTCGAAGAACGATTCAATTTTTTCAAAATGTTTTTATTGATGATGCAAGCAGATTAAGGAAAATAGAAAATGTTAGGAATATTCTTACTCTAGGTCCTTTTTCTCCTTCCGATCCGTATTCTCCAAACATTCCTTTTTCTCCTTTGGGACCCTCCGGTCCCATCAATCCTACGTCTCCATAGTCTCCACGTTGTGCTGGCATTCCCCTAATGCCCTCTGCTCCCCTTACTCCTTTTAACCCGGAGCAGTCGCATTTGTAGGCATTGGGACACCCACCCTGGCATTTCTAAAACAATTAAAATAATCATAAGGTTGCTTTATTTTAGAAACTTGTAACACGATAATTTATAACAAGTTTAATGGTAACGTATAAATCTACATAAACAATGCTCTCGTAATAATACTTAGGTATGTAGTAACAATAATTTTATATTTCCTGAATTGTAAAAGTCAAAAATAAATGTGAGCAATATCTACACGTATTTTCGGAAAAGCAATAAAACACCGAATTTAACACAAGACTGGGCTTTTCAATTTGTACGTTTGTTTGAGATTAGATGATATTTTGATTTTAATGTAGTAAAACACATTTTATAAATTATAAATCGCATAAAAACGTAATGTTTATAACATATAATAATATAATATTTTCTTTACCTTGTGTTTGAGATTTTTATATATTTTTTTATTTTGACCTGTTATCATATGCAAAAAAAAGGTTTAAATGTGTTAAATTACACCATCGAGGCGGCCAATTGATTTAAGTATTTCTTAAAATAACAAATTTACCAAACTTTGCCTTCAATATTTTTGGTTGTTTGACTGACAGTGAATGACTGGCAGGTTGCACTTTAAGGACTAATATATTATATATATTTTGCATGATTTAAATATATAATAATTTTAACATGTAAAATGTCAAACACTGCTCTGAAAAAGCTCAATTTAATTGCATTATGTCAGACACTTAGTCGAAGATATTAAAAAAATGATAAATTTGATTAATAAATTTATCTGACTGACCTCTTTACCATATACGGCAAAGAGACCGCAAAGAAATTATTTTGCATGCCAACGAATCGAGTTTACTTTAATGCATTTAGCATGCAGGGCAATTATTCACATCTGAAATTTTATTAAATGATCTTGACTTTTGGATGAATCATGTTGCTACAGTTCAACATTTAAATTTTGACTTTATAATCTGAGATTTTGCATGTTAAATATATATTATAAAATGGTAATTTTTCATCTTAAATAAACAATTTTTGTCTTGATTTGTCATACCTATTTCATACTAATATATTTTTGAACCCTATTGTTAAGTTCTAAACAAATTATATAAAGAAACTACACCTTTTCCAACAGTATATTCGAAAGCGTTAAATGTAGTTTCGAAATGTTATTAGTATTTGGGTATATATCAATTGAACTTTAGAAATAAAAAAAGTATTTTAGAAAATATCATATGTAGTTTAGAGCTATTAATTTAATTATCGATATCGTCAATTGTAAATGAGAATAGTCAAATGATTATGAGGCCCCGTCAAAAGTAGTTTCGGTTAGTAAATTTAATTTTAGAAATAATCATATGTATTTTAGCTTAATCATATGTAGTTTCGAAAAGGTGATATGAATTTTAGATAGCTATAGTCTGGAGCGCGTTTACATTAATTCCGGCAATCAATCTGAACGCGCTCCTGGTGGCTAAACATGAAACTGGGGTTAAAAGTCAGAAATGACAGATTTCTCATTTTTTGGTTGTTACTGATACCTACCAGGTACGGTCGTGAGCCATTCAAGAGAATATAAAATATCGAAATTTTCTACATAAAGATCTTTTCTATATAGAGAAAGGTAATCATATGCAGATAATTAATTAACTAAGTTAAAATTAATTTAATTAAAAAAATCTTTTTTTTTCATATTCTGCAGCTCCAAAGTCAAGAATTCCAAAAACATAAAAGTAACGCAGAATTATAGTCACAAGGCTTCCCTTGTTTTAACCGCCTCTGAACGTGAACGTGAATAAATATTTGGAGATTTGTATCAAATCGTAAATATTTATCTGTAAAGATATTCAAATTATTGTCAAAAAATCACCCTGTATCGCAAAAACGGTGAGCATTTGGATGTATGCGTCAACTTTTTAGATTACTTTCGGTCGCCGATAACGTGGTAATTTCGAGACACCCTGTATTTACTTAATTAGGTTGAGATACAGCGAGGTCATAAATTTTACACAGCTGTCAAATGATGTATTTTGACAGAATTAGCATAATGCCATCGAAAATACAAATGATGCTTTCAAAAATTCATTTGATGCTTTATAAAATTGATTTGATAGTTCGAGAATACATTTGACGTTATCCAAAATCCATATGATAAGGATAAAACACATCTGATGCTTTCCACAATCCATTTGATTAGGCTAAAATACATTTGACTGATTCGCAAATCTAATTCACTGTTAGAAAATACAAATGATATCTTCTACAATTCATTTGCCAAGACTAAAATACAATTGACGCTTTCAAAAATTTAAATGATAATTTCTCAAATACTGTTTGAAAAGGTGTATAAATCTTCTCGTTATGGTAATATAAGTCTTTGGGTTAGACTGAAATGTGTTAACATTTAGTAAAAAAATAAAGAATCTTAAATATGAGTTAAAATTAGGAATAAATGCGATGCATTATAAAATTCTCTTGAAAAAAATAAGGAAGAACGCACAGTGCTCTAGAAGATGTAAAAAACGGTTTTTTTCACAATAAAGCAAATTCTGTCAATAAATAACATTCTTAAAAAATGGAGTATTTTTTCAAAATGAAATTTTAAGTAAAATGTCTATTAATAATTATTATAATAAAGTGAAATGTAGAATATATGTATATATATATTACATTTTTCATTATTGAAAATTTTGACCGAGACTAAAAAATCTGATTTATAATTATTTGGTAGTTTACACATAAGAAAGCAATAACAATGTAAAACTTCTATACTAATGGAAAAAATTAAAGGATAAAAACAAATTTTTAGCGATTTTTCGGATAGCTGTATCTTCGTTAAAAATGATCGTATGGGAGCCGTAAGAAAATCAATTTGAAGCTTTTAGTTATGAGATTTTTAGATGAATTTTTTAAAGCAACGTGCAACACTGAATCTTAACGAATACCGTAACAAAAAAATCGATATCTCAGCAACTAAAGATTGCACAGAAAATTCAAGGTGGGTTTTAAAAACTTGAATAAACGTTCTACAAGATATTGTTTCAAAAAAAATCATGAAAAAAGGGCTTTTGGTAGCTTTTTGGAAAATCAAGCGCTGAATCAAAAATATTATAGGTAGTTACTTTTTTTAGGACAAAATCAAAACAAGCTCGGCCCTTATTGGTCAATTCGGTGGTGGCGGCGCGCCATGGCGGGTGCATAGCGCGAGACTGATATTTACTAAATGTCATTTTATTCATTTTAGTCTATGAACTGGACTGAAAATATAAAAAATTAAGCAAATAGGACTAATCTTGAAAAAAAACCTTATATTAAAAAAAAAAACATTTAAGAAAACAATAAAAAAAACCTAAAAAAAACAAAAAAAAACAGACCGTTTTTTTCATGTCACATCTCTAGTTGTATACTGTAATATACTCCATACCGATTTTACCTATGAAATGATCTTGCATCTGCTATTTTAGTACGTACCTACCTACACGGAAAAAAATCTATACTGATTCCAAGAAAATTCAACTCTATCCAAGTATAGCTTAGTTTCCCTATTCCGCAAGTAAATTTATACTTGTTTCAAGTATCCTCATATTCTTATAAAATAAAGATAGCTTCGGTTTAATCTAAGATTACTGCTATACTAAAAATAAGAAACACACTAATTTTGAGTTAAGTATACAAATTTGTCTTCAATGAAGACTACGGTATTCTTGTTTTAACGTTAGTATGTACTTCATCAAAGTAAAGTTTCTTTGTAAAATCTTTAGAGTATTCTTGTTTTAAGAATATACTTTCTTTAAGTACACGCTTTACTTGCATAAAATGCTTGTATTCTTACTTTTCCTTTTTTTATATTTGATAAAAGTATAGTATATATTTAAAATAACTTTACACTATTCTTAAAGAAAGTGGTTGATTATAAAAAAAAATTCCCTCGTCTAGCGACTCGGAATAATTTTTACAAAAAAAACATTCGTGACCCTGAAAAATATTTGTATTAATTATCCTAATGTAATTTAACAGTATTTTTGGCATATTATTTTAGAGGTATTAGAAAAAGTACTGTCAATTTATATAAATTCATTCTTTCACGGTTAATTAACATAGATACTATATTTTACATTTTATTTTTTTAAGTACCTAGGTATCACATTTTTGGTGCTATATGTAAAGGTAAGGTTTTTAATCACAATAGTTATTATTTTTTTAAGTAGGTATTTTTATTGTCAGTAAAATTTATCTCCAGCTAAATAATTTGGTTTGGTGTTAATTCTTCAATTTTTTCTCTACACTTGATCCTCAATACTATTTTTGGAATTAATTCCTTTAAATTCTCCTCGCTTAGGTTTACCATAATATCGATATCTATCTCGTTTTCTAAAACAAAAATAATATAGCTGAATTGGAGGCTATAGCCTTTCTGCTGTTTATGTGCTATTGTCTATTACCTGTCGTATGCTATCCATTTTACACTACAGTATACCTATCCATTTTACACTACATTTTTACGATCATGCCTAGTTAATTACTTTAAATTAATGAAATATTATTTACTTACCCAAAAATGTGTCTAGTAAACATTCTAAGCCCCAATTTTTAAGTTTCTTCTCCATTATTTTTTATTACAAATAACATCCAGACCGAAAAAGGAAAACACGAACTGCCGGCGCCGACACGTACACACGCCTCCACCATAGAACACAGGACAGAACTGAACACAGAAACTGCGTCTTTTCTTTTAGCGAAGCGGTCTTAGAGGGTGGACGGTATTTACTTAAGCGAAGAATTAGGTATTTGTTTTAATAATAGCTATACTTAAATACAGTATAGTGTATTCTTTGTTCTAGAGGTCTTATACTTAAATTGAAGTATAAGCGTTCTTGTATTAAATATACATATATTTAAATAAAGTATACCGAAATTTCATACAAATATACAGAATACTTAAAATAAGTGGCAATATTCCGCTTTAAGTAAAAAACTAGAGCTCTTTCATCTAAGCATTATTGTATATTTGATTTAAGTATACTAATTTTCTTTAAAATAAAATACTTTTAAA